AGAAAGAAAGAAAGAAAGAAAGAAAGAAAGAAAGAAAGAAAGAAAGAAAGAAAGAAAGAAAGAAAGAAAGAAAGAAAGAAAGAAAGAAAAGAAAAAGAAAAAGAATGGGAGAAAACAGTTTAATACATGAATACTCTTCCTCATTTGCTGCCCATTATCTGATAGGCACTCTGTCTGAGTGGACAATTTTCTTGGGCACCCCATGGTTTATGTGTGTTCTTGTGTCTGTGCATATGTTCTTAGAATAATTCGCAACATGCCATAATGTGAAGAGACCTATGGAAGAAGGGAGGCAACAAGAAAGAATACTTGAATTGATCTCTCCATAGGCAAGTAATTGCAGTTTTCTGGTTATTTGAGGCAGTTTACTGTGGGAAGAACTTCATCTTTGGGGTAAAAAACCTCATACATACTGATCACCATCTTGAACTCCTTTGATAAGAGCAGAATGTTTCAGATGAAGTTTTAGAAGACTTAAAAGCAGTTCTGTTTTTAAACACACCTCATATTAAACTTTCTCTACTGTGGGAGGCAGGCCAAGTAGTGGTTTTTGAAGCTTTTAAAGGCTCACTGGCCCTTCAAAAAAATGGGTGTTGTGGACATATGGTTTTAGAAGCTTTTTGAAAAGCCTCTGGGCTTGTTTTTAGAGCAAATCTTAACCTCGTAAAACATCTTAAAGGAGCCACGGAGGACCCTATCACTTGAGCCCCCTTAGAGCCCCAGGCAGCTCCTCCCAGAGATTTCCAAGCCTTTCCGAGAGCTTGATATCTGAGCCTGAGAGAACCTTCTTGAGAGGACGTGTCCTAGGATTCAGAAGATCTAAGACCCTGGCCATCAGCGAATCACCCAAGGAGGCAGAGTTTGCTTGCCAGTGAGTGGAGACCCTAGAATCACAGACTCACAGAAATTCAGAGACGGAAAAGTACCCAAAAAGTCATCCGGTCAACTCCAATTTGAAACATACTTATAAAGAAGTGGTTCTACCTCTGCTTGTACACCTCCAGCTACAAGAAGATCATTGGGCGTTCATTCATTCAGCACATTTGCAACTGAGTACACATTATGTGCTCAGCGCTGTGCAAAGGCAGGAAGGAGTACAACATTTTAAAGGATATGAAAGCAGTCCAGGTGTGTAACATAAAGGGAGAAGTCCTGTTTTAAGGCCGGGAAGTGCAGTGTATAGGGTATGCATCACTTTGCTGTCATGTTGAGGATTTTGATCTTTAACCTGAGAGGTATTAGAAGTCTCTGAATCATTTTTGGCTGAAGCTAGGTGACCTCACACCACAGCTGCAAGTTCTTTCTCATGTTGCTAACTGTGATGGTCTGAAAATATGTCCATAATGCTCCTCCTTTCAAAAGGTGAAGCCTAATTTCCCTCCCTTGAAGGTAGGTCAGTTTTATTCTAATAAATAAAATGTGGTGGAAGTGATTCTATGTGACTTCTGAGGCTCATTCTCTTCTAGGTCACTTCTGAGGCTAGAATAGCTTCCCTGGCACTCTCGTTCTTAGATTGCTTGTTTTGGGAGATGTCATCCACCATGCTGCGAGGACACTCAAGCAACCTATGGAGTGGCCCACATGGAGAGAAACTGAAGCCTCCTTCACACAACCAGCACCAAAATGCCAGCCATGACAATTAGAAGTGGATCTTCCAGCTCCAGTCAAACCGTAGAAAACTGTAGCCCCAGCTGATACTTTGACTGTAACCTCATGAGAAACTATGAGCCAGAACCGGCCAGCTAAGCTGTTCTTGAATTCTTGACCCACAGAAACTGTCAGATAATAAATGCTTACCTTTGTTTCAAATTATTTATTGACTTTGGGTAATTCGTTAAATAGCAATAGATGTCTAATTCAGTAAGGCATCTCTAAATATGGGAAGGAAAGCAGGGACTTTGGGGTCAGAGAGACTTGTATCTGTAATCTCCAACTTCCTGGTTGTTGGACTAAAGTCTTGTTACTTTACCTCCTGGAGCTCCCATTTTCTATCTGTAACACAAAATGATACCTGCAGAACTCCCCAAGATATAATACTGCATAGTCATTCTAAGTTTCCTTGCTTTCTCTCACTTCGTATTCAATTGAGACATGCCATTCTCAAAGCAGAGAAGATTTTTTTAAAGGTCGTATTATCAATTGACACTGCTGAGTGTAGTATCTTGAGTCCCCCTACAAAGAGAGGGTTTGAGAACTCTGTCTAAGGCTTCCTTATACCACTAAAGCACTACAGATTTTCGAGTCTATTCCCCACTTGAGTTAATGAGTTTTATGAGTCCATCTCCTGCCATTTAAACATAATTGACTTTTATTTATTTGAAATTTATCCCTCCATCATAGTTGCATGTCTTATTTTCTTCATTTGCAATGCAATAAGGAAATAGATTTATGATGCATATTCTTATAAAAGCAATTATTGAATCAGTCTTTACTATGTATCATATACATTGTGAAGATATTTTAGTTAATTCACAAAACACAACCCTGGGGAATCTATCATCTGTGCCACTTTACAGGTGAGGAAACAGATATAAAAGCCAATGATGTTATTTTACCATCTAATATTATGTGACCTTGGCTAGTTATTAAACTTCTCTTATATCTTAGTTTCCTCATCTTCAAAATGGGGATAAAAAGAGAACCTATACAAAATAAGGTTGTATACAAAATACAAAAAACCTATACAAAATAAGGTTGATGTGAAGATTAGAGTTAATATATATAAAGTACTTAGAACAGTGTCTAATATATTCTAATATATTTCTATTTAGCTTCTATCATTATTTTTCTTATTTTTTAACCAATGGTTCAAAAATCCAGAGCAAAACTTGTCTCTAAACTATTTTTCTCCATCCATGATATCTCTCTCCTGTAATAATAGTTCTTGCTATTTTTACAGCATTTTTTACATCCATTTGATTCTTTCAGCAATTCAATGACTCAGCATCACTATCTTTATTTTTCAGCTGAACAAACTAAGGCTCAGAATGGTAAATGTGAATTTTTCAAAGTACATTTGGTTGCAAGCAACAGAAACAAACTAAGCTAGCTTAAGCTAAAGAGATAAATTCATCATAAGATGCAGAGGTAATTTAGAGAATCCAAGCTTATGAATGAGCCACAGGGAAGAGCCCCAAGAATGACAAAAACTGGGATGAGGAAAGCTGCAGGGAACTTGAGGAATGTTGCTTTCCCCTCTCTTCCCTTCTCTCTACTTGGCTGGTGGGCTGCTTCTGTCTTTTTTTTTTTTTTTCCTCTGAAGACTGGTTATCTTAGCTGCTCAGTACAAACAGTTGGAGGAATGGCAGCCTCCCAGAGCTTCCAAGTTCACAAGTTACCACGCCAATCATAGGAGAGATCGACCTTCTGCCTTTCTCTGTTTGGACTCCACGCCATCACAGATGGGACCCTGGTTAGACCAGCTTGGGTCAGGGGCCTTCTCCTGGTCTGGTCAAACATGGCCAAGGAGTGGGGTCACAATGTACAAACATTGCTGCTGGGCCCTCATTCCTGTAGATTCCTGTACAAAGGTCATGAGTAAGTGAAAAACACTCCAGAGGAAGCCTAGAACATGAAGTGAATTTCCTGTCATTTTACATATTAGATCGATCTTCCAGATTTTCTATTCCCATGAGGCCAACACTTTTCCTACAAAGCTTCTGATACTTCCCTTCAGGAGACCAGCACCTCCTGGAACTCAGGTTGGAGAAGATCTGGGCACTTCTCTAACTGTGGTCTTTCTGCAGATGGAGTCAGCCTGACACACAAGTGGTATTGTGAGTTCTATTATTGGGACATAATTTTTCACTCTTCCTCCTGGCAAGAGAATTCTACATTTCCAACCTTTGCCCTTTGACTAACAGCGTTTTTCTGGAGAAGGAGTGTACTCCCAAAGATTACTAATACCAGACTTGGGCATATGAATTGTTTTAATTGATGGAAATGATTTAGACCAAGACGAATCAGAAACATTAAAAACCATTGCAAATTTCTTTTCTTTCCTCTGCCATAAGAATGGCATGTCCCTTCAGCTTGGATCATGGAATGAAGAAGACACGCATTCCTGAATGAAGGAGCCACAGCCATCCTGCAGTCACCTACAACAGTGACTCAAGAGAGAAATGAACCTTTGAAAAATGACTCATCTAAGACCTCCTGAGAGTAGGTTTTTAAGACGTGATGAGGAGGAGGAGGAGAGGGAGCAGTTACTAGGTGATTCCCAGATTTATTTCTTTGTAACCAGGTAGATGGCTATCCCTTTCACTAAGAGTAGAACCTTGCAGAAGACGGTTTGTAGAGAATGGTGTTGAGTTCCCTTTTGACCATGCTGAGCTGAGGTGCATGGGAGAGAAATTCAGTAGACAGTAATATAAACTAGCTTGAATTAGGAAGGAGATCTGGACAGGAGTTACAGGTTTGTGTTCATCTACCCACAGAGGTATTTAAAGCCATGAGAGCCAATGAAATACCAGAGAGAACAGAAGCATAAGAAAGGGAAGGAAATGAAGGTATGCTCCATTGCATATACCACATGTAGTTTATCCATTTATCTATCAATGGCCAGTTGGGTTGTTTCCACCTCTCGGCATTGCAATAGTGCTGCTATGAAGTGTGAGGATTGTCTTCTGGAGAGCTGTAGGGCAGAAGAATCCTGAGAGCATGATATGGAGACAACAGAGAGGATGCCATTACTGTTCTGAATGAGAAAATGAGGACGGTTTTGCTCCTGAGAGGTATACAGAGAGAGAAGAGAGGAGAGATGGGAAGAGATAAGGACATAGATGGGGAGGAGTAGGGAACACCTGGGCTGTGGGGTCAGGGAAGATTTGTTTGATCAAAGAACAGAGATGTCTAGTGTTCGGAATAAAGTGATTACAGTGCTTGTTTGGCTCCATCCCCTCCACTCAGTACGTTTTGGGAAAATCTCCTAATACACACAAATGTTCTGTGTCAGTTGCTTTTTGGTAGAAACTGAGGAAGAAATTACATTTCCTCACTGATTTGATGTGGAAAAACAGAGAGAGCAAGCAAAGAAAGGCAAAAGAAGTTATAAACTATTCTATGCAGGGGAAGCAGTCGTTCCAGAGTCATCTGAGAGAGTGAGCTCTCTGGAAATGCACAGACAATTTGGGGAGGGATCTGGACTTCCACAGAATGTGCACTAGGGATTTAGACTCTCATGGAACATAGCTAAGATGCCTGAGGCAATTCTCTCTGGAGTGGTGCTTCTTAATTTTCGTGTGCCTAAGACCCACCTGAGGGTCTTGATGAAATGCAGATTTTGATTCAGGCGATCTGAAGTGGGGTCTGAGATTCTGCATTTCAGACAAGCTCAAGCTCATGGGTCATAGTGCTGCCATGGTGTGTGGACCACACTGAGTTGTAGGGCTTCAGCTCTCAAAGGGAAGAAAAGTTCCTGATGGCATCAGCACCTCTCTGTGCCTCTGTCTCTCTCTTATACACACACATCATCATCATCATCATCTCCCAGTGTTCCTGAGAAAACAGGGGTGTCCTGTCCTCTCAGGGTGAGGTCGTGATAGGGAAAGCCATCAAGGGGCCACTGTTCCCTTTTTAACCCTTTACCTCTGTCCCTGTTCTGTCTTTGCCCAGGAGCTGAGGAGGTCACACCAGGGGAAGCTCAGTGGTTCATTCTGCATGCTTTGGCCCTGGATATTAGAACAACAGTCTGCATGGGGGAAACCAAAGACTTTCTCCAAGGTTGGCCTTAGAAATCCCTCTCTCTGAAAGATGGATAGAGGTGGAGAAAAATGTTTAAATGATATTTTTCTTGAGAAAGGTCGCTCTGGGGAGCCAAGAATTAATTGAGTGCTTGATTGTGAGAGGGCTGTGTGGTAACTCCCTTGTTTTCCACAGATGTTGAAAGAGTATGAGCCAGAGTTTAGGAAAAATGTTTTCCTGCATATCCACCCCTGCCCCAGGGGCTGTGATGGAGTTGGCAAACGCCATTCAGGTCAAGTCTGACTCTGGCAACCTCACAGGAACATGAGAATTCACAAAATCTGAAGGGGAAATGGTGGTGGGAGAGCAATGAACAGGAAGAGAGGAAGAAGAAGGGAATCTCACTGCAACGGGGAGCCCTGTCCCGGGAGCGTCCACTATTCTGTTGCCCTCAGAGATGAATGAAACCCCCTGCCGCTCTGTGGGCAGCTTCTTCTTTTGCTGGGGTAGGAGGCGGGGAGGGCAGGGAGGCGAGCCCTGTAGCATTCATTGTGGAAAGACTGTCCTTATTTTGAGCTGAGATCTGCCTTTCTTGGTCCACACTAAGAACTTTGGTGCTGATGCTACCCTACAAAGTCACAGGCAGTGTAATACCACACCTCTGCCTGCAGTGCATCTCAGAATTAACAAAGCTCATCTTCTTTGCATCCATCTGCCTGTCTGGTCCTCAGAGCTACCTGGAAGAAGGCGGGGGAGGGGCAGCAATTATTCTTCCAGGGTTTCAGATAAGCAGGTAAGAGTTTTGAGATGCTGCTCTAGCTTGTGGTAGAGGTTGAGAGCACAGGCTCCAGAGTCTGCTCCCTGGGTTCACAGCCACTCATTGGCTCTGTGTCTTTGGACAAGCTCTTTGAGCCTTCTAAGCCTGGGTTTCCTCTTCAGTAAAATGACATAGTTATATTATTTACTGGGAGAGGTTGTGGTAGGACTAAATAAAAGTAACCGTTGGCGATGGGAACTTCCCTTCTGCTATTGAGGAGGGATTGGAGAAAAAGGTGGAGGTTAAATGACTTGCCCAAGGCCACAAAATGGTGGCAACAGATCTAGAACTCAGATATTCTAATAGTCTTCCC